GAGGGGGAGTTGTTGTTGACTCTTTGTAAATGATGAGGGGGGGGCAAGAAAACCCCAATTTGGCCCCATCGATTTAACTCCTTGAGCAGCCTTGTCAGCCCTACTATCTTCTCCCGAACACAACGCACCCCTCCTCATGAAGCGATGGCGTCGACTATTTGCTCATCCCTGTACACACATGGCTGGCGTTGATGCATGCGGACGAATATTTGGGAGATTTGAGCCATCCCATATGCGGGGCCGTCGTTTTTTTTTTTTTTTTTTTTTGGGTGTCCGCCCTTTTCCTTTTTGCATTTCTCGCACCTGCCGTTTTGTGTCCCCCGTTTTTTTTTTCCCCCTTTTTTTGGTTCTTGCCCGGCTGTCGTTTTTTGCCCCCCGTTAGTAAGCCCCCATCTTGGAGGCCAGCCATCCCAAATGCAGTGTGTAGCCGCCGTGCTAGACAACTGCTCCGTGGATAATATTAGATATTCGATTTATTTATTTTTATTTTTTTATTTTTTTTGGGGGGGAGGGGAGGGGAGCTAATTGTTTGATTCCCAAAAGAAAATAAAATAAAAAAATAGTTGTTTGATGTTGTACAAATGTTGAAAAAAAAAAAAAGAAAAAAGGTGGTGTTGTATAACTGTCGTTTAAGTAGTTGGCGCTGATGAGCGGTTTATGTCTCGGTGCTGTTGTTTGTTGTCGGGATCTGGACTCGTTGGCTGCGGCGCTCTCTCCACGTGGCAGTTGCTGATTGGTTGAATTGAAGCGGGGCGACCTCGAGTCCGCTCTGTTGCGTCTGAGTGCGGGGGCGGAAGGCGGGATTGAAGAGTCTGAACGTGGACGCAAATCGGCGTACATTCTTTTTCGAGCGCGTGTCTGCCGAGCTTTGGGTCTGAACGTTTGTGGACGCAAATTGGCCCCAGATTCGTTTTCGAGCGCGTCTTAAATCGGCCCCCAGACTCCTTTCCTAGCGCGTGTCTGCTGAGCTTTGGGTCTGAACGTTTGTGGACGCAAATTGGCCCAGATTCTTTTCGGAGCGCGTCACTGAGCTTGTCTGAACGTGGACGGAAATCGGCCCAGGTTCTTTTTCGAGCTCGTTTCTGAGCAGCTGTTGCAATGGGCAAACGGAAGTCATCCAAGCCTCCGCCGAAAAAGGCGGTTCAGAAAGTGCCAACGGTTTTTTCCTGTCCGTTCTGCAACCACGACGGCAGCGTGGAGTGCAAGCTGTGAGTTTTTTTTTTTTTTTTTTTAATGATTGTTATTTTTTTTTTTTAAGCTGTGAGTTCCGATCTCTTCCAAGTGTGCGTTTTTTTTTGTTTTTTTTTTTCGATATGCTCCAAGTTATTGTCGTTTTTATTTTATTTTTTATTACAGAATCTGTCGGTTAATGTTGGTGGTTGTTGTTTTTACTTTTTTTTTGGCGGGGGGTGTGGGGGTGGAGAGTCGGTTGTTGTTCTGATTACGAGTGGTTCTTCTGCCCCTTTGTGTGTCTCTACCATGTCGTACATGCGATTCGGTTTCATGTCTCTCTCTCTCTCTCTCTCTCTCTCTCTCTCTCTCTCTCTGTCTCTCTCTTATGTCTGTGACTGAATGAACAATAGAATGCGCACATGGCTGATGCCTTTCGTCTCTTTGTGCATGGCTGATGCCTTTCCTCTCTGTGTGCCTATACAAAGGACGAAAGAACGTGCGATGGGGCAAGGGGATTGAGAATGTGTGTTTGTGTGCGGTGCGTGTATGTGTATGTCACACACACACGCAGACAGACAGAGAGAGAGAGAGAGAGAGAGAGAGAGAGAGAGAGAGAGAGAGAGAGAGAGAGAGAGAGAGAGAGAGAGAGAG